TGTTTGACCACAAAATCAAAAGTATCTCAATTTTAACTCAGGGATGAATAAAATAGACTGGTGAATTCAAACTGCTAATATGTTGCCATCCCTTAAAATTCCCTGGTTCTAAAATAAATTGTTTATTTTCTTATTCTTTATATTTTAATTTAATTAATATTTAATTTTGCCCTGGTTCTTATGGAAATTTTCATTTTTAAGTTTGACAATCATAGGGCCGGCCCCGTGGCTCACTCGGGAGAGTGCAGTGCTCGTAGCGCGGAGGCCACGGGTTCGGATCCTATATAGGGACGGCCCGTGCGCTCACTGGCTGAGCGTGGTGCAGACAACACCATGCAAAGAGTTGCAGTCCCCTTACCGGCCATAAAAAAAAAAAGTTTGACAATCATAAAAGTGAAAGAAAAAATGTCAAATATACTTTTGGGAAAACATTTTAAAATATAATTTTTGAATATTAGTGAATAGGCTAGCAGCCCCCTTCAAAAATAAAATGTGATCCTGTACTAAAATCTCCCTTCTCCCTTATTCTGGTCTGAGTCAATATAATGAACCCAGTCTTCTCACTTTACAGATGAGGAAAAATAATGACCAATTAAAATGACTTGCTCAAATTCACAGAGATAATGGCAGCTTCTAGCACACACTTCTCTTCTTCCAAACCACTGACACAGAATTCAGTGTAGAAGGAATTCAGAGGCAACAGACAGCTGTAGTATGGGGACATTTAAAAAAAAATCATGGAGGAATTGGAATTGACAAGAAATAAGCACTTTTTTTAACCAAATCTTACTTTTCCACCAAAATAACACATGCTAGCAATAGAAAATTTGGGAAATGCTGAAAAGTACAAAGAAAGGTGATGGGGTAAATTACTCGTAACTCCATCCCATAAAATCAGTGCCTTTCTCTACAGTCTTTTCTCCCAGCACATTAGTGTTGCTGTTTTTCTGTCATTGTGATCATATTACGTATCAAGGATCATTATAACTCAAGGACTATCCAATGTTATAATAAACTCTTCATAAGCATCATTTTAACTGCTATATAATGGTTCATTAAAGAAGCTTTGCCATAATTTTCTTAACCTTGCTCCTATTTTTGAATAATTAGGTGGGAGAGAAAAATTTAAATGAAGAGAGGGAAGGTATCTAGCAGAAGAATATGTATTTACAGCAAATTCAAACACCAAAATATAGCATATATTTGAGTTTTGAGGTTGTAGGTGATTTTTGTTTTATTCTTTATATTTTTCTCAATGGTACAAAAACACTAATAAGAATACCTAGTTTATTGAGCTTCTACCATGCGCTTTATGCCACAGATACATTTTCCCATTTAGTCGTGATTACGACCAACCAAAATCACTACTATATCCTCCTTTTGAAGATAAGAAAAATGAGACCCAGGGAGGTTAAGGGACTTGCTGTCAGTCAATGATGGAGCAAAAATCTGATCCCAGGTTTGTCTGAGGAGGAGGCTGCTATTCTTAACCTCCATTCTGCACATCCCAAGTTTTTTTAGTATGTCCTATCATTACCATCAGAAAGCATTTCTTGGACATGGAAATGGATTGCAAACAATAGCAAATAATTTGTTACATGTAAGGTGTAAAAACAATCTACCAAAATCCCAGAACAGCTAAGAAAATCATCAATAAATAAAATCCCCTTGGTCTTGTCTAACATGTTTAAAATTCAAATATGTTTTAGGTTTCTCCAAAATTGATTTAAAAGAGGGGGGGAAAGCAGTGTTAATTGCAGCTATGTGAATGAAGTCTGGATTTTGAGACTGGATGAAAAATGATTATGCTAAAAGTAGTCTTCTGTAATTAAATGAAAACTGTGCTCTGCTCTTTAATTAGTCAGCAGTAACTCATTTAAGTGGTAACAGTAAGTCCTGGTGCATCTGGTTAAATGAGAGCACAGCAGCCCCACCTCAGCTGAGGTTCTGTTTCCTGCAGCAGTTCTATTTATGCATCTACTGCTCTAATTTGAAACTTCAGGAAAGGTGGCACATTCTTTTGCAACTCTGATGTACACGTTGTGAAATCCCCCCATTTTTTTCATTCAGAAGACTTGTAATATGCTTTAAATTCCAAAGACTCTCACTAGGGGAACATATTTGCCTTAGAAAGTACACACAACCTGGGTCTCTTGCATCACCCAGTGTGGTGCTGGGAAAGTTAGTAAACATAAAATTCACCTGATAGATTTTTCTTCATTTCTAATGCAGATAAATTGAAGTCCCCCAATATTTTCTCCAAATTCCTCAGTATCAAATAATACTCAGATTTTATGGCCCTAAAAAAAAAATGAACTTATTTTTCTTTTTTGTTGTTTCTAACGTTATTTCTTAATTAGAAAAATAAAGCATACTCATCAGAGAAAATTCAGAAAGTATGAAAAATGTCAAGGAAAAACATTGCCCATCATCCCTTCCTTCAAAGACACATTTCTATCAGCATGGTAGCTTATTTTCTTTTATCTGGCCATTGCTTTTATATATTTGAGATCATTCAGTTTGCACAATTTGGTATTCTAGAATTCAAAAGAAATTTTGAGTTTTATTCCTAACCTTAACCTGGATACCTACTGGCTATTCCATGTGCTTCCAGCATCTCAGACACAGTCTGTCAAGATGCCTGCTTCCTTGAGTCCTCATTGAGGGGAGGCCTCTGTCCAAGGGACAGAACTCATTTCTGTGGTAGGAATGAGTATTCTAGACATACTAAAGCATGAGAGCAAGACCTTCTATTTACTTAGTTGTCTTGGATTAATCACAGTGGGCTGGCCCTTATTCCCTGAATGTTTGGATCCAAACAAAATAAGGTTATAATTATCATTCAGAGCAACTTTGAAGAAGAGCTCTTGCTTCAGGATGACCACCACCCGGGAAAACTTGGAGGATAGGAACGTGAAGGTGAACCATCAGTCAGGCTGACGGTGTGTCGACAGGTCACAGGACTTTAGAATCATAGAAATTGAGATTTGCAGATAAACAGCATGAATCCCAGTCCCAGACTCAAGTGTTTAAGGAATACCCATTTTTTTGTTTGTTTGTTTTCTTTTCAGAAAATAAAGTGGTTTCCAAACTGGCAGGTAACTTAGTCTCAGGCATGCAGTCTGGAAGGCTTGTGTAGGGCCAGAAAACAAGGGCAGACTCTCTACCCTCCTCTTTCTCGTGGTGATAGCTGGCAACCACCTAAGCCCAAAGTGGTTCCTTGAAGTTCAGTTTCTATTTCCCTGCCATCTGGGGATCAGAGGTCAAGCCAGCTGCCTGGTCACTCTGTCAGTCATGCTCCCTGAGGTCAGGCCATTTTGTCTGGGAAATGCCTAAAAGCTGGGCACCAGCCTCCCACCAATCAGAACCCACCACCCTCCACCTCTTTCCCTGCCCCTGGAAAGTTCCTCATCTCTCCTAAGTTCTTTAAGATATTCACTCCTTCCTCCTCTCCCCGGGCCACCTAAAGTTCTCTCTTCAGGCCTAATAAAATAGAAGCCAACTAGGGAAAACATTTGCAGAAAAAATTCTGCTTCAGTCTGCCAACACATATTTACCCTGAAGTAAAGGAGAACAAATGGCCTGGTTCCCCTTATAGAAGACATAAGGGAAAATAATCAGGAAAAAAAAAAAAACCAAAGTAGTATTTTTCAAAAAGCCATCCTACCATAGAAAAGACCTTGAAGTGGATTCTTTCACACCCACAACCAGGGTTCTTCATTCTTTAGCACCAGGAGGCCAAGTGAGCTATAAGCTGATAAGTGTTCAGACACTATGAATCCTAGCTTAGGAATCATGACCCTTTAGGCTCAGTTTTCTCCTACCACAGTGCTTTAGACAGAGTCGGATCAACTAATGTTGCTTTCCCTTGTCCATAGCTGACTGCCTTTCCAAGCCCAGCAAGTCTCAAGGCTGTTGCTCTAATTTTTCATATCCTAGGAGCAACTCTGGGAGAGGCCCCCCTCCCTAAAATGTGGGCCTGATGCCCACACTTGAAACTGTGTGTAAGTAGTGGATTTTTAGCTGAATTTGGTATATATGATCATGGTTCAGATGGCTAGAGAAAGTCACAACTAGGGTGTAGGGAAAGTAAAACAAAATGGTCAGGGCCCCCTCAGATGTCCAGAATCTTGCTGAGCATTTGATGTAAATATGCACATGTGCCCAGGTGCTCCTTGGTTATTGTCTAATGTAACTGTGCATGTGCACCCATGTGTTCCTGGGTTGTCTGACTCGGGCCCAGGTGTCCTGGATTGTTGGTCTTAAGTATAAAAGATTAGCAGCTCTGATCCACAGCTCCCCCCTGGAGGCCACAGGGAGACCGCTATTGCTGCTGGAGGCTGTTGCTGCCACTGTCCCTCGGATACCCCGAGAGGCCACCACCACTGCTGCTGCTGCTGCTGCTGCTGAGGACTGAACTTGTGTTGTCTGCCAATGGCTCGTGGGATCTTTCCCAATTACCTAGTATGGACCTCTGTGTGAGGGGTCTGGTGACCCAGCCAGGCATGTGAGGGGTCTGATGACCCAGCCTGGCATGTGAGGGATCTGATGACCCAGCCTGGCATATGAGGGGTCTGTGACTCAGTTGGTGCAATGGGTTTGAAGGGTCTCTATGGGCCCTTACCCCAGATAATACAATTGGCTACATTGACAGGAGTCCGACAATTGCCATAGCCTACCTGACAATTGCCTAACTATACATACGGCTGGCCAGTTAGCTCAGTTGGTTAGAGTACAGTGTTATAACACCAAGGTCAAGGGTTCAGACACCCATACCAGCCAGCCACCAAAAAAACAAAAACAGAGAAAGTCACAATTAATCTACTTCAACACATTGCCTACCGAGTCCCTTCACAAGCTCTCCACGATTTTCACTGGATGTAGCCAGTTTGAACATTCTCTTCCTCTTCAGAACTCACTTTGATCTATGTGGAAAACTGTCTACCAGATGACATATTATGTTCTTAAATCCGTCTCTCTGCATTTTTCCTGTCTCCCAGTCAGATACAGAGTTTTGGGATAAGATGCAAGCAGAATGGGAAGAAATGGCCCGGAGAAATTGGATATCTGAAAACCAAGAAGCCCAGAACCAAATTACCATCTCAGCCAGTGAGAAGGTAACCAATTCTGTTCTTATTCATGCCGACCAGTTTTCTCAACCTCTTTGGATCATATTTTATAGATTAATCAATAACTATTTTGTCAAAATTTGAAGAATTAAAAAGACAATTAAATGTCAATCTGATCTAGAAGAAATTCTGATAGATGGAAACAATATGACCATGCAGTGTGTGAAGGCAGCCAGGCTGCAATGAAATGCTCCTATTTTTATCGGTGTTCAGACAGTTTGGCAGTCAACCAGAACCTGGATCCTGACTGCTGGCCGGTTACTGAACTAAGTGACATTGAGGGTGGGTTGGAACAGGAACTGGGCTGACCCTGCAGTGCTTTGTCAGCCAGTCACCTGAGTCCTGCTGAACTAACAATAGAAATGATATTGACGGCAGAGGAGTGAAGCGGGGCTTAGGCCTGCATCTCACGGGTGGTCATTACACAGTCAGCAAAGAAGCCTTGTAGAAAAAAGGTTTACACACCAGGTCAAGTCCTGAGGGGATTCTTCAGAGATACTCTCCTGATAGCATAGCAAATGTGCAAGAGCAGTGAACAACCAGACACATTACCCATGAAGTCCCAGTTGCTCTAAGATTTATGCTTTTAAAAATACCTGGTCGGGGAAAAAACACTTGAGGAGTAAGTATAAACGACTTGAAAGGTAGAAAGCAATGTGGAAATATATAACTACACATATATATGTGTGTATTATGGTTTTTTGTGGTGGAGGAAGTCTCCATAATATATAGTTCTAGAAAACTTCCGTGATATTTTGTTCAATGAAACAAATATTTATTGACCATCTACTCTTGCACTAGGTACCAGGGATATGATGATAAATAGCCTCTGATTTCAGGGGATTTGCAATCTACGTAGTGATTAGAATGTCTCCTCCTTCGCAATATTCTTCCTCCTTCAGTAGGCCAAGCAATCTCACAAAATCAGAACAAACATCTCATTGAAAATAACCGTCCTTCCCTCAAAGAAATGAAAGCTAACTAAGAAGAGAGGACACTGATGCAGATCATCAGACTCTGGGCTGTAATCCACGTGACTGAGGCCTTCAGACCCTCACTCTCAGGACCCCATATCCACTCTACAACTACATAAGCTGGTCAGACCCTGTGGCTTTTGATAAGGGATTTTGTCTTTCTAAGCACCTGCAGAGAGTGAAGGCCCCACTTGATCTATTTTTAAACCTTCATAACATCATCACATGAACTAGCTTATTTGTGTCCATCAGATTAGGATTTTTATAATTTATGCTAGTAAGGTTACAACAAATAACATCTCTCAGATATTTGAGGTAAGAGTTTAAGTTGGCACGAACTTTCTGAAAAATAATTCTGCCACATATTTCAGGGACCTGGAAATAGTTCATAGCCTTTAGCCTAATAAGTCCCTCTAGGAGTCTATCTTAAGGTAATAAACAAATGCAGGCAAAGATTTGAGCATGAGGCTTTCCCTGTAGCTTTATGATACCAAAAAGTTAAAAATAACTTGAATGTCCATCAATAGGGGATTGGATAAATAAATTTAGCATATGCATATAAATAGTTTTAATAACATAGGGAAATAATCACAATATAAAACTTAAGTGGGGCCTAAGCTACAAGATTGCATATATAGGATGATCCTATTTGTTTAATTTATGTACTCATAGAAAAATACTAGACAATTATTTGTACATTCTGTATTGTTTAAATTTTTACAATAAAGTCTGTAACTTTAAAACATGCATTCTCAATGGGGGCAATATAGCCCCCAATGGGGCAAAAACTGGTTTGGGTAAGGGCAAAAAAAGTCAGATATTACAATGGTTTGTAACTTTCCAAAGGGCCATAGTATATAAACAGATATACAGTGTGTGGTATTCATATTTCAGAGGAGTGAGTGGCAACACTTAGTAAAAATATGTCTGAAGAGTCAGTTGAGAGGAGATAGTTAAAACAAAAAGAACAAAAGAAATATCAGAAAAAAACAAATTCCAAATTATTAACAGTGGTCATATTTAGGTTGTGGAATTACGGGTAACTTTTTCTATTTATACTATTTGGTATCATCTAAAATTTATACAATGAAAATGTACTACATGCATAATAAAAACAGTAATTTAAGTTTAATTTAAAATAAATAAATTAAAGAATTAAAATAAATTTAAATTTAAAGAGAACTTACTAAATATAAGAATGAAGAGATAAATCTATTGGCCCTTCTCTGTGTTGCAGGGATATTACTTTCACACTGAAAACCCCTTCAAAGACTGGCCTGGAGCATTTGAAGAAGGCTTAAAAAGGCTGAAGGAAGGGGACCTGCCAGTCACCATCCTATTCATGGAGGCGGCAATTCTTCAGGACCCTGGAGATGCAGAGGTGTCACTCCCCCTTTATTCTGCCAGACTCAGAACATGGCTGCATGTGCTAATGAGGGACAGAGGATGACACCAAGCTCTGTTGTGTGGCATTTTCATTAAGTAAATGTTCCCAAAGGAGTTAACCTGGCTTAGTATGATAATTTTTTGAAAGTTACAAATAGGTACCTGTTCTCTAACCAAGTCTGCACTATTTATGGTGTCCAAAGATAAAGGTTGGGGACAGGAAATGAAAACTCAAAATTGCCAACCTGGAAGCTCACCAGAAGTTTTCAGGGAGCAGTACGTAGTTTTGTCTGGGTCTCAAGTCACGTCATGTATCACCCTTGATTTATTCACTCAACATTTATTGAGCACATACTATGTCCCCAAAATTGTGCCAAGTCCTGGCATGAAATATTGAAGAACTGGAAAAATGTAACAGTTGAAAAGAAGTGTTTGTGATCTATCTGGGGAGACAAGTAAATAAATCAATGCAGAGTAATAAATGCAATGTCAGAGTAGGCACAGGGTGGCAGGAGAGCAGAGAGGCTCTCAACCCAGCCTTCCCGTACAAGTGAATCCAAAGCTGAATTTTGAAGGAGGGAAGATCCGTGACAACAGGGGAGTCGGGTTGTTGTTAAGAGGGAATAGAACGTGGATACGTAGAGGGTATGAAACATCTTGTTGGGCAGAGGAGGGCAGGAGTGAACAGTAGAGGGGAGGAAGAAGAGTTAGGCAAGAGTTTGAACTTCGTCTGAAAGCCATGGGAAGCACTAGGGGCCTCTACTCAGGGGAGAGTGGCCATGTTAGGAAACCCCTTTCTGTGAGATGGGAAGGGTGATCGATTAGAGACAGAGGCTGGGAGACCCTGAAGGGCTTCTGCAGACCTATCTTAGTCCACTAAGTTTCCGAACCCGTGAAGGCTCGCAATAAGATAGTGGCGGTATAAAATCTTCTTAGTTTGTGAGTCATTTTCAGGAATCATCTTGTAAGAGATATTCCCAGAGGAATTTGCAGAAATTTTAGAGACAGGTATATATGGTGGTGAGCGGTCAATCTAGAATAATGGTTAAGCCTGTAGGCTCTGCTCTCCCACCAGCGGTGTAGGTTCAAATCCCTGCTCTACCTGTGAGCCACGTGATCTACGACAAGTCATTTAAAGCCCCTAAGCTTCAGTTCCCTGATCCGTAAAATGGAAATCACAATAGTGATTAAATGAGCTCATACAAATTAAGTGCCCAGCTCGGTGCCTGGCACATTGATATTTATCCTTCATTATTATTATTGGTTGTTTTCAGTTTGTGTAGAAAGAATGAGTAAACTGATCATGAGTTAAAGCTCCTAATATCTTGTTCATCAAAAAGTTTACAGTGAAATGAGATTGAACTGAGAGCTGAAATTCTGAACCAAAATATCGAAATTTTCAAGAGATATATGAATCATTGTAGAACAGAAAGTTATTACATTAATATAAAACTATAGGCCACCCTCCAAAATAATAACATCATCTTTGATATTGCACATTTTTAAATGCTATGTATTTTATGAGGCATTTTCATGTGTATTACATCATTTGACACAATAACCCTGGGAGGTAAAAAAACAAAACAAAACAAAACTACACATTATTATCTCAGATTCATAAATGAGAAAATTAGGGCCCTTGGTAACGAATGGATGCCAGGCAAGAAGCCAGGGCTTCTGTAGATAATCTAAGCTAACAAATGCTCTATGGTAGGAAAACGACTCCACAGCCAAAGGTTAGGAAGAAGCCCCCAGAGAAAGACTGTTTCTCCAGTCTTTATTTAAGAAGCATTCTAAGCTATATGAAAAGTGAAATCAAAACAGAGGCTGCTCGCCTTGCAATACCAAGGTCAAGGGTTCAGATCCCCATACCAGCCAGCTGCCAAAAAAATAAAAATAAAAATAGATGCTGCTCTATGTAGGTTTGAAAGATTAAAAAGAATCACTGATTTCCTGGGTGGAAATAATCAATATTTTTTATGCGTTTATATGGTATAGGTAATAATAACCCAGGAGGAGAAAAGCCAGTACAGATTTCATGGCACTTAGAGATGACTTTGTGTGCTTTCCTATGGTATTGTTCTTAAATGTCTGCAGCACTGATCTCAAGGGTAGTAGTTATACACTCCTCAAACATTTTTAAGCCCCTCAGACTCTGATATGCCCCCCCCCAGCAAATTTGAGAACAGTGTGTGCAGTGAGAGATTTTGCTCATGTGTACTCCTGTAATGTTGTGAGAATTATTATTCTTATAAGTATAGAGTTAGAAATTTGCTATATTAAAACCTTCCTTCTAGATATGAAAAAAGTTATCTGCTTTGAGATGCTCTTCATATCATTTACTACAGCAAAGGATTGCAAACAATCTTAGAGCAATAAGGGAGCTGGTAGTGTAAATAACGGGATATCCATTCAACAAATTTAAATTAAACATTATGAGGATTTTGCAAAAACATGAAAAAAGTGCTTAAGATACAATAAAAAATATAAGTATAACTACATATGTACGTTATGATTGTGTTTTATACATTTTAACAGTGATTACATTAGAGGGGTGATCACATTATGGGGGTTTTGTTTTGTTTTTCCTAATTTCTAAATTCCCTGTGAACTCTTCTAGTAACCATTTAACTTTCATTTATACAAGCTAATTTCATGTTGTATATCTTGAGATTCCTTATTGTAAACTTTAGACTATTTTGCTACCCTTCTGAGTCATTTTTCTACCCCTTTTCCTCACAATTGTATAATTTTATATACTTAGCTTTTGGTTTTAAGTTACCTAAAATCATGAAATCTCAGATATTCACAGGTTTCCATAGCACTAGGTTCCAGGAAAAGATATACACTGAAAGAGTTTGCAAAGAGTGACAAAGGATCTTGACCAAGGTATCACAGGAGAGTATGAATGAAGAAATGCATGTGGTATTTTTCTCTTTTACATAGCTCTCGCATCTGAGTCAGGTCGCTCTGCACAAGGGATTTGTCAAAGGCAAACAAACCAACTAAAGCATGTGAGTAATTCTGCTTCATCTCGCAATATTAACATTCGTTGTTTTTTGTAGGCATGGCAGTTCCTCGGCATAACCCAGGCAGAGAATGAAAATGAGCAAGCAGCCATTGTCGCCCTCCAGAGGTAGATGAGGCTAAGTATAAAATCATGGGCCTGGTGGACACTTGCGAATGAACTTCCTGTGTTTCAGATTTGTCTTTTGACCCTTATTGAATACAGTGTAAAGAATTGGGGCAGGATAAGTGCAGGATACCACTTACACCTACTTCTGGAAAACAAGGACTTATGATAAAATAATGTTTTGCTATTTACAAATCAATTGATGTTCACTGGCACCAAAGAAAGTCTGTGTTAAAAGCAGTCATAAAATAGGGTCACTGAATAAACATTTTTTTTAACTTTCTAGCCTTCTGTAGCATATGAAAGTTCTCTTTAGAAAAACGTATTCAAAATACAGACTAAAGGTCTAGACTACTTTGGTTATCGGGGTGGAAACAATGCGTGCATGTAACATCACACCTGATTTGAGTCCCTGTTTAAACCCTGGAAAAACAGCCTCTACCAAATATGATGGTACTTTAAAAAGTTCGTGGAAAAATTTGTATTATCTTTTAATTCTGTTTTTCCACCAACTTTTTGAAGTACCCTTATAGATTTCTACTTTCCCTGCCCTTTCTTGCAAGTACTTTTAATATAGTGCTATAGGAAGAGAATATATATACACACACACATATATTCCATATGTTATATATGTGTGTGTGTATATATAAATATATATTTAATCTTCCAAGAGCTTTGGAATCTTAGAATATAGGAATTCTAGATCCTTGGAATTCTAAGGCTTTGTAATCCTAGAATTCTAGATTTCAAGATTCTGTTGGTATCTTATGGTGTAATGGTGCTTGGGGTATTGTCCTGCCTTGAGAGCCTTTTCCTGTAGATGAGAAAATTGGGGATCAAGGAAGGTCGAGGTCACATGGAGAGTATGTAATGGAGACAGAATTTAAACCATCTTCTCCTGACTCCAAATCTGGACCTTTCTGAGTCAGTGATTCTTAACACTGTACACACATGCACAATAGAATCATTTAGAAAAAAAAAAAAAAAAAAAAAAAAAAAAAAAAAAAAAAAAAAAAAAAAAAAAAAAAAAAAAAAAAAAAACAAATCTGGACCTTTCTGAGTCAGTGATTCTTAACACTGTACACACATGCACAATAGAATCATTTAGAAAAAAAAAAAAAAAGATGCCCAGGTACACCCCAGAGATTAGGAATTAATTGGTCGGGGCTGGGAACCAAGCAGCAGTAATTTTTAAAACTCTCCCCCAGGTATTTCTTTTATTTTTTTTTTTTGTCCTTTTTGAGACCGGCTGCACTGCGCTCAGCTAGTGAGCGCTATGAGCGCACCTATAGGATCCAAACCCGTGGCAAGAGCGCTGCTGCGCTCCCAGCACCGCACTCTCCCAAGTGCGCCACGGGCTCGGCCCCCAGGTATTTCTAATGTGCATACAAAGTTGAGAATTTCTCTGTCCAGTGCTGATAAGCTTTTGGGAGATTGGAACTACCTTAGTGAGGTATCAGATATGGTCTAGGGCTTGATATTCAAAGTCTCATTCAGGAACTTCCAGCATTGTGATCACCTGGGAGCTTTTCAGACCTGCCTGCGCAAACTTGGGCCCCAACCTTGGCCTAATGTACCAGAATCTGCACTTTCCAAGATCCTCATGTGATTCACATGCGCTTCAAAGTTTGAAAAGTACTTGGTAGAGGTCGTGAAATAAAATGAGGGAGAGCAGCCTATGTCTCCTGCAAACCCACATCAGTAGTCAGGAAACAGGAATTTCCCTCTCCTTTGCAAAACACTGTACAACTTCTTATCTCTGGATGTCCAAATTTAGTTCAAATCAGTTCTCTTTGGGGATAACGTACATTTAATATATTGGTAATAGAGTAGCATTAAAATAATGATATCCCCTACTTCTCATTAAACTAAATACTAATAAATTATGTACAGGAATTAGCCGTACTTTCTATAGTTTTAAAATCATTTATTAAAATTACCAAAGCTGGTGGTCATCAGGATGAGTTTTAATTTGCTTAAAAATATGCTTACATCCCAATTTTCATGTGGATAAATATGGTATTTTCCAGGGACTTGACATAACAAACTCAACAATGCTTTTGTAGCATTTAATTAATAATACCTCAAATTTTTAAAGAAGTTAGACTCAGGCTTAAAAAAAATCTGAAATTGTTTTGTTTTGGGGGGGGTTGCCTTCTTTCAGGTGCTTAGAATTACAGCCCAACAACTTGAAGGCTTTGATGGCTTTGGCTGTGAGTTACACTAACACTGGCCATCAGCAGGATGCCTGCGAAGCTCTGAAGAGCTGGATTAAGCAAAATCCAAAGTACAAATACCTTGTGAAGAGCAAGAAGGGATCTCCAGGCCTCACCCGACGAATGTCTAAGTCCCCAGTTGACAGGTATCCCTCGCATTATATTACAGCTGGTGGTAAACACCCTTATACACAATCACCTTTAGGGTCATTAATGAGTCTCAGACCCCTAGCACCACCCACTCCAAAATGGTTTATAGGATGCATTCTGCTAATTAGAAAGATGGATGCTGAGACCACGGCCAACCTCTGGACACATGATCTACATTGTGGGCACTCACAGACATTTAGCTGAGTACCATATTTTAGAGCCAATGCTTTGGATGTATAATTCATCTAAAGTATAGTAAGTACTGATTCTCCAAGTTTCATAAAGCCTGAGAATTAAGAATGGGGAAAAACGAAAATCCTTTCTTCAAGGAATTTTGTTTTCTATCAGCAATAAATGCTGATGTTAAATCCTTTCTCACTGAAGCCTTGGGAAACTTAGCTGTGGGGTTTTCCACATTGGCATTCAATGGAACATTGGTCAATGAAACTCTTCTTGTGAAGACCTTACTGAGTACAGCCTGTATCTGCGTATGATAAAATATTTCATGAAAATCAGCCATATTTTTTAACAGCCCAGTATTAATAGTCTTCTCATTAAGCTGAGATATTTTAAGCAAAATTTTTCAGTCTATAATGAAGAAAGACTTCTTGAAATAGAGTCAAGAGATTTCATAGTAAATCATTTATGTCCAGACTATTTGAATTACAAATCTAATTTTTTCTCTTGTAGTTCTGTTCTGGAAGGAGTGAAGGAATTATATCTGGAAGCTGCACACCAAAATGGAGATATGATTGACCCAGACCTACAGACAGGTCTGGGAGTACTGTTCCACCTGAGTGGAGAATTTAATAGAGCAATAGATGCATTTAACGCTGCCTTAACTGTTCGGCCAGAGGTAAGAAAACACAGCACAGCAAGAAACCATTAGTTTCTCTGTAACAAATAAGTTTTCACAGGCTACACTTTCTACATTTCATCTACATTTTATTTCCTCTAGTGCTCAGGAAACTGATCGGTACTAATAATATGCTACTGTGGCTGTTAATACTGAAATACCTAAAATAGAAACATTCATTACATGACAGCATCAAATGGTAGCTGCTTTTTGATGAATAATAGTCATTTGGCAAAGTTGTCCATAAAGATTTTTGAGTAATTCATCTCGCCATGGTCCCTGTCCCTGAACACTGGATAATTTTTTAGCCATTTTCCTTCCTCTGCAGAGAGGAGGAAGGGCCTGACAGGGAATACTCTGTCATTGTGAGCTCTGACTTTGTCATCAGGACTATTCCTTATGGAACCGTCTCGGGGCGACCTTGGCAAATGGAGACCGCAGTGAGGAAGCCGTGGAGGCCTACACTCGAGCACTGGAGATTCAGCCTGGCTTCATCCGCTCCAGATACAACCTGGGCATAAGCTGCATCAACCTGGGCGCCTACAGGTGAAGTATGGCAACGGGCTGAGAACCAAAAGCCATGCTCCAGACTGGGGTTGGGAAACCTGAGAGGTTGTTTTCAAATAAAAATACCGCCCTTTGTAGGAGTGACCCTCCCTCCTGCTAAGGGTCAGTGTTGAACCTTCAGCCCTGGAGGCCTGTTTCAGCAGGAACCATGAGCCTCACTGGGTCTCAGTCTTTAGAGAGCGGCCATCATCAGGGCATCTTGGGAAACATAGCGTCCAGGCCCCTACTGCAGATTTCCATTCAGTCGACCTCCGTTAGGACAAGTTATCTGGGTTTTCAACACCCCCAGGACCAACTCTGAGAAATATGAACAGTCCAATCTTTCATTTTCCACTTAAGGAAAAAATGAACCTTGGGGGCGTGGGCAAGGAGATCCTCAAAACTGCTTCGGAAGGTACCAGAACCAGTGTTTGGCAAAGCAAAACCAAGAATACAGGTTTTCTAAACCTATTGTTCCAATAAAATTAGTCAGGAAAAAGAGGAAAAAGAAAAAAAACGGGGGCTTATAGTTTGAATGCCTTTCCCATTCTCTCCTCACTCGTCATTATCATTCTGGTCTATCTCCTGTCTTTTCCCCATTGACAAGGACCGTAAATGACTTTTATTTCTTTAAGGTAATGAAAATATGGGTGATTATTTTTCCCCTTTCTTTTTCTATTTTTTCTATTATCTAAATAAAAAGGTATTACTTTCATAATTGAAAAAGAGAAAACTAAATGTTAGTTTTAAACCCCACAAAAAAGGTAAAATGTAAAAATGTGTCTCATTCTCGGAAAGAGCCAGGCTTTAATAGTCAGACAGCCTGAGTTCAAATCACAGCTTTGTCATTTACTAGTTTTGTGACTCTGAGCATTTAACTTTGAATCTCAATTTCTTCACTTGTAAAAAAGAGAAAGAGAGAGAGGTAATAATAACTATCTTCCAGGATTATTGTGCAGGTTAAATGTAATTGCCCGGCACAGGGCAGATGCTCAATACCTAATAGGCATTTATGATGATGATGATGATTATCACCATTATCATCAGTGTCCTTATTTCTATTACTTATTTATCTGAAGAATTGCTGTTTCTGAACTGCATTGTGCATTTTGCCATTGGCTAATATCGAAGCCTTAAAAAACAGTTGCTGCATTTATACTAAAAAAAAACTTACAAAGAACTTTAGTCACTGGATTCCACTGTGTCCTCTAAGAAAATTTTTCTCAGTTCAAAACCAGGAATAACAAGGTGACTCCTGAGCGACTGTTTAGTTTTATTCTATGGACACTGAAATGTGCCACTGCAGAGATGCTCTGCAGAAGCCCAGAGCTGACTCTGTGCCACCTCTCCACACATCACCTGTCTAAGGCCTGGTGATGTCCATTTTGTATACTAACTTCATTCCGGGGTTCATCTGATTTTCCTGACCTGGTTTTTTATTTACACCTTTTTTCTAGGTATGTTGTTTATATGTGTATTTATGAGACACCTTAGGTCCCTTTTTTGGAAATAGGGGAGTTGTAAATAAATACATGTGTACACATACAGATATGAATACATATACAGACATAGCAAATTCAATTAAAGGAGGCTTTTATAAAGCTCTTGGATGAGGTTTTCTTAATTGTAACTTCTTAGTATTGAAAATGGTATTTGAGGATTCAGTAGAATACTTTCTCAGCATTCACAGATGTAAAGTTCAGCGGGCAACAATTTGCAGGAGGTCATGAAGGTCCATGACAGGTAAAAATGGGCAACTTAGTTGAGGTGTGAATTTTAAATCCTTAAGCAGGAAGTCTCCTGCATAGGAGCAAGTCAATTTTAGGTTTGCCAGATAAAATACAGAATGCCCAGTTATATTTGAATTTCAGATAAACAGCAAATAAGTTTTCATTGTAAGTATTTCCCAAATATTGCATAGTATATGCTTGTACTAAAAATCATTCATTATTTATCTGAAATTCAAATTTAACTGTGCATCCTGTATTTCTGGTTGCTAAATCTGGCACCCCTAATCAATTGGCTGCTTTGGAACATCTCATCTGAGCTTTGTGGGTCTTTTATTGTCATGCCAGATATGGAAATCTTAAGAAGTGATAAACATTTTGTGTCTTTTCTTGAGGAAAAAAAGACCAGCAAGTGAGACACAAACCTTAAATGAATTCTGAAAACAAGTTTAACTTGAGGTGTTAAGTATATGCTTAGGAAATAACAGCTCTCAATAGAGATATATATATGGCTCAGATGAAAGCTGTGCAGATACTTTCCCATTCACAAAAGTCTTGGGACTACTCCCTCAAGAACTGCAGGTGTTTTGTGTATGTAGCTGTAACACTTGCTGTTTGTCATCTCACATCTTCTATAAAGAGTCAAAGACACGCCCTACCCTAGTACCATACGCAATTGAAATCAGGAGAGGCAAGTGAGGGAGTAAAACTTGGGTGTAGCTTCAAATGTTACAGCTTCGTCAACAGGAGCTCCGGAGCAGAACTTAGACAAGTGGATCTTAACCTTTTCAAAAACAAGGACCCCTTTTCAATGAAAAAATGAAATTTCATCCCCTTTGATAGTAATATTTTTAGTGTTAGCATAATGGGGGAAGTTTTTAAATAAATGGGAATTTAATTAATCATGACAATGTACACAATTTGAAATTATTCATACATGTATGTGTGAAACATTTGAAAACTATGCACACATATAGACAGACACTCTTCTGAGTCCTGCAGAAGGACTCTGAGTTCTTAAGTTGAGGAACAGGTTTAGACTATCTTCATGAAAAAAACCTGCATTTGTTTTGATGAAGTTTTGGGAACAGCCAGTGAATGAGGGAATTCCAAGATCTTCCTTCCCCTGGGGTTCTTACAGGTCTAGGATTATGAGAAGAAACCCAGAGACAACATCATAAGAGCTGCCACCTTGTAAAGACGGGGCCAGCAAGCCCTCTAAAGTAGACTCCCTACACTCATCTATTTATAAATCCTCTCTTCTTGCTCGATTGCAGGAAATCCAGAAGAGGAGGTTATTAGAACCCCCACTCCATTCTGTTACCCAGGTTGCTACCTACAATATAACCATTTCCCAACCGCCTTTTATTTTCAGGCAGATCTAACAATACAGATGAGCAAATGCTTAGATCATATGCATTAGAATCAAAAATCCAGCCTCACTTTTAAGGTTTCTTATCAGATGCTTGATAACTACCTTGCAGGATTAAATGAGATCAAGTGTGTGAAAGTTTTTGAGAAGAGTAAAGCCGATACAAGTTAACGTGGCATGATTATTTGTAGCAGGGATCAGTTTGTCAGATACATGATACAAGGTGGGGGTGATATGGGGTGCTGAAGAAGCACACCCAACAGGTCCACTTGGCACCCAAGCATAGCCGCGGACTAGAGGAGCTAGAAGGTCTTTGGACAGCATCTAACTCGGCTCTTCTCAAACTTTGTGTTCTCAGGATCCCTTCACACTTTTAACAGTTATTGAGAACCCAAAGGACTTTTGTTTTTGTGAGTTATAACTATCAATATTTACCATATTAGAGATTAAACTGAGAACATTTTTAAAGGTTTCTTTAAAAACAATAAAACATGTTACGTGTTAACATAAATAAAACATTTTAAAAAAATTAATTACATATTTTCTAAAACAAAAAGAATTTTAGTGAAAAGAGTGGCATTGTTTTACAATTTTGCAAACTTTTAAAAATATCTTGCTTACTAGAAGGTAGACTCTCAAGTCTATTTCTGCATTCAAGATGTTAGAGTAGCACACATCGTGTAGTCTCTGGAAGATTCCACTGTATGCATGGGAAAAAATGAAAGTGAAAAGGTCAACTAACATCTCAATTTTATTATTAAAATAATTTTTTTTTTTTTTTTGTCTTTTTCTGTGTCCGGCAACGGATCGCAACCCTCAGTTTTGCCCCCGTACCGGACCGGGGACCGGCAACAGGACTGCAACCCTCGGCATTGCCCCCGCGCCTCGCTCAGCCAGTGAGCGGGAACCGGTCCGTATGTGGGATCCGAACCCTCAGGCGGGAGCGCCGCCGCACTTCCCAAGCGGCGCACTATCCAGTGCGCCACCGGGCCGGCCCATTATTAAAATAATTTTGACCTCACTAATCCCCAGTTTTCCCCAGACCACACTTTGAGAACTATTGATCTTAATAATAGGAGCTTTCACGTAGATCGATTCAACTGCACCTCACAACAAGGCTTTAAAATGGCTTCTATTATCTGCTATCATTCAGTGAACTGAGCCTTGGAGGAGATAAGAAATTTGCCTAAGGCTGGCTAAGTGGGATTCAAGCCCAGGTGCTCTGATAATAAACTCAACTTCACCCGAGCCGCCTTGCATATTTCTATCACTAACAGGAAAAGTTAGACCGCTTCGTTTCTGAGTAGGGCCATGTTCCTTCTCTTAAACTCTAATTACAGAAATCACATCCACAAATGGATTAAGTCTTCATGTCATTCCTGGAGTAGGTAAAAATCAAATGCATTAATGAGTTATTTTTTGCCATTATTCTTCCTCTCCCATGTGATATTCCAAAAATAAAATTTGATTTTCTTTTTTCTTTCTGATTTTGCTATATTTAACAATGATTGTTCACAAAAGAGTAATGAGAGAATCGGAAAGTTGTTCATCTGATCATCCAAAACACCCCAGAGAGGTGATTTGGGATTTTAGACTAAAATAACTTAATCCACTGTTGCTGTTTTTTTAAGTTTGCCAACTCTGAAATTTGTTCTGTTTTAAAATGTCTGTTTTTCTATCCTCTTAGAGAAGCGGTCAGCAATTTTCTCACTGCCCTCAGTTTGCAAAGAAAGAGCAGGAATCAACAGCAAGTTCCTCATCCTGCAATCTCTGGAAATATCTGGTCTGCCCTCAGAATTGCACTGTCTCTGATGGATCAACCAGAACTCTTCCAGGCGGCTAATCTCGGTGACCTGGATGTCCTCCTTAGAGCTTTCAACTTGGATCCTTAAAGGAAAAGAAAAAAACAAAAATAATAATCCCTCATCTGTGTAATTGTACTGAGAAATGAAAAACTATTTTATTATGAATTTCAAAAAGGATAAATCAGATTTTCAAAAGGCCATGGTCATATAATCCAAGGGAATTAATTCCTACAGACAATGCCCAGTCTCTGTTCAGACACAAAAGCACAAAATGTTGTACGTAGAGTCAAGGTCGGGCTCAAAAGAAGAATTAAGATACTCAAGACAAACCAAGATAAAGGCTCAAAAGATGAATTAAGAGACTCAAGACAAGCCAAGATAAAGGAACTGTGTGAATACTCTTCACAAATTGCAAGCCACTGCAAAACACATCCTTTAGGTTTCTTGTTTCCAATTGCAGCTGATGACACATCCGAGGAACTTGCTCATGGGACACATGGAGAAAGCCATGTCTCAGATCAGGGAATTCTGACTATTTCTGAACTGTCCCCTGCACTTCTCCCTCTTGCAAGACTGAACACAGTTTGGGCCATTGGTGCATGCACATGTATTAACTCGATTAAAGACAGGCATTGCTTAAAACTGTTTCAATTTTAACTTTTACTGTAGCCCTTTGATTCCAGAGAGAGAGCTTTGCTGGCAAAAGCAGTTTTTGCACTAGAAATTTTTGCTGTTCCCAATCAAAACTTTTCTGGGATTGTATATATGCACTTTAATATCTTATTTATGCCTTGCTGGAGTTTTGTTTTGTTGCTCCAATTTTTAACGTGGGGGTGAAAGATTTGAGAACTCAGCCTTGTTAGATCAATGGACCAAATAAATTCCTGAAAATAGTTTTTCATAGTGTAGGGTTTTGAAGGAGTGTTTTTCTTAAAGCAAATATGACATAGGGTGTAAATACATCAAACATAGATCTTATTCACATGTTTTCTGGGACTGTATGAGTTTAAGTAAGAGACAAGATTACCGTCTCTATACATTCTCTGCAGTGAGAAAGTTCGATGATAATCGTGATTTCTATTGAGTTCAAATTAACTTGTGTCATATTTTACTGGCTTTCTAGCTGCCCTACACACCAATATTCCTTTTAAACTGTTAATTTTTTAAATTGTATTTCTTAAAAGTGATAACACATTTTCTCTTAAAAATTATGTGCTTTCTTAATTCTGTAATAATCTGCACTGTTCATCCCCTTGCATTCTAAGTGATAGAAGATCGGCATTTTCTAACTGAATCTCACTGAATTTCCATGGTTTTATATGAAAGATGCATGCCTCTTAGGCTCTTACTTTGAACATTTAGCAAGTATCAGGAATTTTCTGTTGGCAGTGATGTTTCAATTAGTTACATTTCACTTAGCCCTTCAGAGTGTTTTGTGTGTGTTTGGGGCATGGTGATTATTTTGAAAGATACATTTTTTAAAAAATTAGAAAAACTGTTTGGAAAATGCTAACCAAAATGTAATTTTATCAATGTCCATTTCTAGTAAGTTTTCCCATCTGTCTTCACCGTGTCTCCTTCCTTCCTCCAGAATCTTCCCCAAGGTAGTCTGATCCAAACATTTTTTTCATGTTCTTTGTTTAGTAATTCCACTCATGATTATAGTTACCAAAAAAGAAAAGAAAAGAAAGAAAGAAAGAAACAGAATTTGGGTCAAAATGGTTTAATTGATTGGGTGATTAGCTTCTACTGAGGGGAAAATGTGCCCACATGCTGAGAAATTGAACACTAAGTGCGGGTGTAAGTCCTCTTTTGTTATTTTTGAAGTCCCTGGGTTGTGAGGGGATTCAACATGAAAGCACATGTTCTTAAGGCTTATATATATAATCTATTCTAGTTTATAAAGTCAAAGAGTTGAGGGTACTGTGGGGGATGCCAGGGGGTTTTTTTTGTTTGTTTTTTGTTTTTATTGGTTATGCATATTCATGGCGAGCAGAGGAAATTGTCACCATTCGTGCCTAAGATGTGATGGCCAGATCTATACTGGCAGCATGCCCACTACCACAAATTGTGATTATACCCCCTGTCCCCCAACCAATTATCCCTGCAATTATCCACGACCCCCCCTCCCCATCCCCCTTTCCCCACTCTACTTTGTGTCCCTAGGTATGTTCTCTCCCTCTGCAAGTCCAACGCCCCACTGTGGTCTTTCTTTCCTTCCTTCTTTCTCTTAGCTCCCACTTATGAGTGAGTAAATACAGTATTTATCCCTCTGTGCTTTGCTTATTTCACTCAACATAAGTTTCTCCAAGCTCATACATGTTGTTGCAAATGGCAGAATTTCATTCTTTTTTATGGCTGAGTAGTATTTCATTGTATATATACACCACATTTTCCTTATCCAATCATCCATCAATGGACATTTAGGTTGGTCCCATATCTTGGCTATTGTGAACAGAGCTGTGATGAACATGGGAGTGCAAGTATCTCTTCAACAAGATGATTTCCATTCCTTTGGGTATATATCCAGAAGTGGGATTGCTGGATCATATGGAAGATCTATCTGTAGTTGTTTGAGAAACCTCCATACTGTTTTTCATAGTGGTTGTATTAATTTACAGTCCCACCAACAGTGTAGGAGTGTTCCCTTCTCTCCACATCCTGGCCGGCATTTGTTACTCTCTTTTTGATTATATACATACAGTCTAACTGTGGTGAGACGATATCTCAATGTGTTGGGGTTTTTTTTATTGAATCATAATTGATTATGCATATATCTGAGATTCAACCGCTTCTCAGCCTTTTGGCTAAGATCAAATGTAGTATCAATATGGTTTTAATTTGCATTTCCCTATGACTAGTGATATTGAGCATTTTTTTCACATACCTGTTGGCCATTTGTATGTCTTCCTTTGAAAAATGTCTGTTCAGTTCCTTTGCCCATTTTTTAATTGGGTTGTTTGGTTTTTTACTGTGTAATTGCTTGAGTTCCTTGTATATTATGGATATTAGTCCCTTGTCAGATGCATAGTTAGCAAAAATTTTCTCCCGTTCTGTTGGTTGTTGTTTCACTCTTGTGATTGTTTCCTTCACTGTGCAGAAGCTTTTTAGTTTGGTATAAGCCCATTTATTTTTTCTTTTGTTGCTTGTTCTTTTGGGCTCATGTTCATAAAGTCTGTGTGTGCCCAGACCTAGTTGCTGAAGTGTTTCACCTATATTTTCCCTTGGTAATTTTACAGTTTCAGGTCTTATTCTTAAGTCTTTAATCCATTTTGAGTTGATTTTAGTATATGGTGAGAGGTGCACAGGTTTGGATACTCATTGTCAAAGCTCACTTGGGCAAGCTGATGGCTCCTGCCAGGCAGCAGGAGGCAGAGGCCTTAAGGTATTCACTGCTGGGCAGTAGTGACAGCCCAGGCTTGGCCTACGCTTCCCCACAGTCTCAGCAGTAAAGTAAAGCTCAACAATATTTTCAAGAATGGTATTCTTTAGAATTTTAGAATCCTAGAAACTCAGTCTGGGAAGGACTCTTGGGGCCAGCCCCCACCCCATGGAAGCTGTCTACTTGAATATACCTGAAGAGCGGGATCCATTCCCCACCTGCTTCTTCCTTCTCTCAGCCTCTGTACATCACCGGACTGGCCAGCTGACTGGACTCCATCACAGTCCATTAAGAGCCTCTGAACAAAGGATTCAAAGCAAACTTCACAGCTGCTCTGATTGTGGCACCATTCCGTACTTTCAGCAGCAAGCGAATGCAGCCTGTAAGTAGTGTAAATGTGGGATAGTTTGGTTTAATTTGAGTGTTGCTAAGTGGTGGCAAATTTTGTGGCCCAAGTTTTATTTTGCTATTGGAATACAAAATAACTTCAAACTCCAAGGAGTTGTTTTAGAGGAGAGTAGACAATCTGCCATTCCCACCATTATTTGGCAATTTGCAGAGCATTTGTTAGGACTTTCTCCAGTATATCTAGCGTCCATCAGAACTAACGTTTTTTTACAGGCTGTTGCCTGTCAGGAAGTCCAGACCTATTGGCCAAGAGGAAAAGAGTTGCACTTTTCCATAAAATTTTTTTATAAAAATAAGTAAAAACCATTACTAAAAAGTGAAAGTTTATAGCAAGACTTTAGAACAGCCTTTTTTTGCACATACTGTATACACCTATTTTTTTAAGCGTATACTTTTTTTTTTAGGCAGAACTGTTTTTGGCATTATCTTCATGGCATGAAATTGTCATTAAAATTGTTCTTTTCATTTGAAAGGGTAGGTTGCCCTTGGTTCCCTTCTGAGGCACTCTGGAAGACTTTGATTTTCTTTTTCATGTATTAATGAGTAACAGCCTAAAGGCTCTCAGAGGATGGTACTCTTTTACTAGAAAGGCCACTCAGTTGCATAGAGGTAGCTTTTGGAGCTTGACTTCACCAGTAGATTGGATAAAAATGCAGAGAAAGCCAACGATCATATTTCAAAATATGTTGTGACTATTTCTAGTGAGCTATATCTATGTGCTGTTGTATTTTAAAGGTGAGGAGGAGGGGTGGGGAAGAGCAAGGGTGAGGATCCTCTTATTGGGCTAATCATATTGACTCTTCATTTCATTTTCTTTCTCCCAAGATCACTCCCCTTGACTCCTGAAAGGAAGGGTGATCTTTTCCATCAGGAAACTTCAATAACAAACTACGAATTGTGCTTTCTCAGCCAATCTGGATTTCTACTAGAACAGCAAATTAGGGAAAATATAACTGGGTAGGAATGTCCAGGACACACTTTCAGAGTTTTATGCCACTTTTCTCATTCTTTCATTTAAAGAGAACTATTAGGCCCATATCTGAATACTTGTGCAGATCAATCTTTGTGATATATTCCTGCTATACAGGCAAGACTTGAACACAATTATAGCTAGTCCCACTTAAAACGGAAGCTCCCAAACTCTTTACCATAAACTTTGTGAGTTCCTTGAGAATATAGAGAGAACAAGATGGTCATTTTGATTCCCTTCCTCATTTGCCCCTGAATCAGTTCCACAAGACTGGACTGCACTTTAAGCTGGTTGCCATAGTAGTAGTGATTGTTGTTTTATACCTTAAAATGCTTCTAGAAGCATTCTAGAAACTGGGTATTCTGAAGGCTTAATTCACATGCCATCTTTTGAGTCCTCTTAGACATTATTACACATGCACACACATGATTTCAACTTTGTAAGACAATTTCAAATATTCCCTATCACGATTTTACTGCAGATTTTCCCTGTCATCTCTATAGTTACAGGACTGGTTGAAATTAAACTGTTTTGAACTAAGAAGTATATCTTTTTAAAGAGTGTTCATAGATAAACTCTGGCATAAAGTTTGTAAAAAGGCAATTTTTAAAAAGTAAAACATATAACCTCAGGTACAAAAATATTGCATGCATTAGTACTTGCAAATCTGCCTACTCAAATATTAACCAAAGCATGCAAGATAACTTTACTGAATGTAAATTTACACGGTGCATGACTAAGTCTCATAGGTTAGCTTATTCCATGCTGCACAAGGAAGCATTTTCATGAACTTTGAGTTACACTTTTTCTATTTGCTTTTATTATCCTATCCTTGACATTGTTTTCATGCTGTCACACTGAACTTTACAGGCATTCACACATCCGGTTTGTGCAATGTTGCAGCAAGTGCCAAACAAATCCTCTGAGGAATCTAGTTACTTAGACATCCAAATACTTTTCTAAAAACCAGTTGAGGCACTACAGATTCAAAACTGAAACAAATCCCAGTATGTGAAGACTACTAAACTAAGTTATGTTGATTGCCTCAGCACATAAAGATTTGGGCTCTAAATTCATAATGCATTTGAAAATTTTTCTAAAAGCTTGGGACTAGGGGCCAGCCCGGTGGCGCACTGGATAAGTGCG